AAATCTTTAACTTAAATTAATTTTTCTCAAACATTTTTCGAGCATCTCACAGTAACTCGCTTATTTAGGAACATCCTTGAAGGTCTCAGTGTCACCACCCCAGACCACACACAAACCCCAAATCCCCCAGCTCTGACTTATCTCATATTAAAAATTCCCTTCTTTGTTTCTCATCCTTACAATGATGAATAGTCTCAAGCATTCATATACAAACAAGAAAAAAAAAACTTATGAGAAGCTCTCTTGCCTCTCATGCCATACAAAAAAGATTCTTTGACAAAAATGAGAAAAAAAAATTACATCGACGACGTCTTTTCTTCAGCTTTTCATAATAATGAAAAAAAAAATTGTTAATATTATTATTCTTATTCTTATTCATTATGATTCTCTCCTTAATAAGGATTAAATTTGCTTCTTTCGCTTTTCAATTTGTTCACATCATTGCTATTGATATTTGGATTATTCGAAGTGGGACGTTGTCTTGATGTGAACTGTTTAGCACGATGAACGCCTGTGGTTTGAACAGGTGGTCCGAGATTTGAAAGTCCTCCCAATAAGTCAGTCAATCCGCCGAGTGCTGTAAGACTGGTGAGGGCATTAAGTGCACCTGGTTTAGATAGCAATTGTGCTAACGGTATGGCTGATGCCAATGCTGCTGCATTTTGTGCAGCATCTGTAACACTTACATTATTATTATTCGTTGTTGCGACAGGTGTTGGTGTCGTCGGAGTTATATTTGTTCCACTTGTAGCCGTTCCGTTCGAAGTCGCACCAACGGCACCGGTTGATTGTTCCTGTGCCAAATTTGCCTTTTGCAATTCGACGCTGTTCAGGAATATATAAGAAGAGAGGATCGAAAAAAAAACAAAAAATTTTTTTGTGGTTAGAAAGGAATTTTGTTTTTAGGGTTCAATTGAATTTATAATAGGGGGATATAATAAGAGAGACAGATAGATTATTATTCTAAGAAAATAATAAAAAAATAAGATTTCAGATTTGCTAAGTTCTGATCTCTTCAAACTATAATTAAAATTATAAAATAATCGGAATTTAAATTTTCTAATCGAATTTTCCTTTTAAAAATTATAAAATGCAGGAGAAGTTAAACAAAAATCAAAATAGTTTGATTGGATATGATTTGAGATTAATCGAGAGCTTTTGAGTTTTAAACGAGATGAATTGAAGATTTTTTTGGAAGATTTAAAGTTGCTTTTATTTTACATAAAGTTATATTAAAGTAGAGACATGAAGAAGATTATAAAGCCCGAAATGAGCGTATTTGCTTATTTGATTTGAACATAAAGAATCGTCCTGAATTAAGTGTGAGCTTAATTGATATGTAAGCCTGAGAAAGTCGAAAGTTTTCAGGAAAATGTTTTAAATTTTTGAAAAATACCTAGGGCAGGATCTTTAAGGAATGTGTCCCATGGCACACAGTTTGAGAACTCCTGCGTGAAAATAGAATTTTGGGTTTAAAACTCAATTATTAACAGTTTGACCATAGTATAAAAAAAGGTTGAGAAGAACTGATTCAGGCACATAAGTTCGAAGTTTTGAAAATGTGGAAATGACTTTAAAAAATATTAATTATTTTTCGAATCAAAAATTGCCAAAGTCTTGCTAAACTTCAATTTGAATTCAGAAACTTGAAGCATCTTAGCAGTAACTAAGAATATGTCACAAATGAAATTTAATCAAGTAACTTCTCAAAACTTATTCAATTTGAATTGCACAAAAAGTTCACTTTAAAGCATTTCCTCCAGATGCTAACTTGAATCAATGAATAACAATTCACAAAAATCTCATTTCCAAATGCAGCTCTGACATTTTAATGCAAAGAAGCTCTCAACGAGAAAGCTTTCATCACATCCAAAAAATCAAATTATCTCAAAAAATAAATTCAAAATCAAATCCTAATAATTTATCAACTTATTCATTCTTATATACGTTATTATGATACTTTGCATGCATGGATGTAAAAAATACTTTTTTATTGACTTACAAAAAAATCATAAAATAAATAACAAAAAAAAATTATTAAGTGAGAAAAAAAGTTCATTCTGGTAAATAAAGAAGGATTTTTTTTTAAAAAAAAGAGTGAGTAAAAGAATAAGAGAGAGAATTGATTTTCATGGATTATTCAGCGTCGAACGCTTTTGTGTCAGCACAAAAAAAAATGTTGCTTGCCGCCAAAGTTCAAAAACCAATTTTTTTCGTAGTGGATATACTAATAATAATAGTAATAGCAATAACATATTGTCGTCGTCATCATTGTCGTTCGTGGTTTTCGTTTGGGTTTAAAACATACTTTTTTTGGGCTCTGTATATAAAAAAGGGGGTCTTTTGATTGTGGGGTAGGAGGGGGGATCATGAAAAAAAATTAATGGTGAATGAAAAACTTTTTTGTGTTTATGAAAAGAGAGAAAAAAAAATTCATTTTCCACATTCACTTTATTATGTAAAGGATTCTATTTATGTTTCGTTTGGAGGGGTTGTTCATTAATGACGTCAAACACTGAATTAAAATTTCTATTTATAAAAATATTTAAATACAAAAGCTAAGGAAGCCTTCAATATAAGATTTTAAGATTGACGTCATTTTCAACTAACCCCAACTATGTATGATGTTTTTAAAAAAATCGCAGACTTCGTCTTTTATAATCACAAAAAATGTGGTACAAAGAGTGGATGGGAAAGAATCATAAGGAATGTGAAAAGTTTAGCTGCACAAAACAAAATTCTTACTATTAAAATTTATACGAAGTGAATGAGAAAAGTTTAATGCTTGCTGTTGTTTGTTAATATTGTTCTCATTTTATTCCCGTGATGTGCTGTAAAGTGGAAAATGGATATAAATATTTTTCTATAGCGCGTGTGTAATGTTTATGAAATGTTAAAATATTATTGAACATTTTGCTAGGGGATTCAAAACGGCAAAATTTTCGTGTGTCAATCAATTTTGGTTCCTCTGAAAAAATTTAATTTATTTTATAGGGGAATTTATCTGAAACTTAAGAGGAGTGTGGGGTGATTTATAAAATTTAATGTTTTTACATTTAAATAAATTATTGTATATTTAAAGACATAAAGGCACATTTAAAGTCAATAATGTTATTCAAAAAATTGCGATGATGAGGTTCATGTCCGAATGGTTAAAGCTTATGACCACTGCAATCGAATTAGGTTCGAATCTCATAGTCAGAGGTGGATCTAGAATTTTCTTCTATAATAGTTCTAATAATTGGAAATTAGAGCTTCAAAAAATTATTAAAAAACAAAAAAAAAGATTTAAAAGGGATTCCGAACCCCCTTGGCCCATCAGCTAGCTATGCCAATGCTCAAAGCTACAATCTTTCTTTCAAATTTCTTATCTTTCGTATCTTTAAAGGGGGTCCATATAATTTATAAATAAGGAATTTTAAACCCCTTACCTCCTGCCTGTATCTCAAATTTTCATTCAAAACTATTGACTTAGAATCAGACTCCTCCCCAGCCCTTCTTATAATTTTAAAAATCAATAAAAGGTTAAAGAATTTTTCATTAAATTTTTGAACATCAGCTTTGGTCTAATGGCTGCTTATAATATATGGAAAATTAAAGAATTCAAAAAAATCAGTCAAAGATTGAAGTACAGCTACGTGCCAGGATGGACCAACAAAGCTTTAAATCTTAGCAATCCTTAATGTTTCAACCCCTTTTTCCATCAAAATTCTATCAATTCAAAAATAAATTCATATCCCAATTTTCCACATAAATCCCTAAAATATACAAAATCCCTTCTGGAAAATTTCACAAATCTCAAAAAATAAGAACCTTCATTTCTTTCCGAAACCCAAGAATCTCTAGCAAAATGTTCTCATTCAATAGACATTACAGGTATACACATTCAAAAGGGATCAAAATCTTAAATTTCGCTTAATAAAAATTTGTTCGCATAAAAAAACAACAACCAGAAAATAAAAAGGTAATTAGGAATTGAATATCAAAATTACTCTCAGAGTTTGGCTTTGGCTATATGGCAAAATGATGATAATGGCATATGTGTTTTGGGGAGTATGGAGAATATACATTAAATTTTCTAAAAATAAGTATCATCATTTCGATCTGAGGTGTGATATGCGTGAGAGGAGGATTAAGAACGTGAGGCAACAAACAATTTTTAATGGAACTGATGCATGGGGAAATGTTTTGTGTGTATTTGTGTGTAATATAAAAGTTATCCGGATCATTAATTTATTGAGATCGAGTGGAAAATAAACATAAAAAGTGGAAAGAAATGAAATAAAAAAAGGAAAGGTTGTAGGAATGGTGAGATATCAGCAAAGGCACATTCGATACTATTGAAATTGTTGGACATTTTAAGGTAATATGGAGAGATTTTCAAAACAACTTTCCTCTTTTATTTCATTGGATTAGTATTATTCTCTATCAGTTTGTTGCGCTTAATGCTTCACTTCGATTTTATATCTTTCACATGATATATAAGAGACATACAAAGTAACAACAAAAATATCAAAAAAAAACTTATTCGCTATTCTACAAAGACTTGTTTTTCTTTCATTTCATTCAATATCATTACAGAGCATGTAGTTGACATATAGTATGGAGAGGTGATTGTGTGTATTTATGAAGATATAAGAAAAACAACAAAAATAAATCCTCGGACGTTTACAAAAATAAAATTAAATGTTAAACACAAAAAAGCACGCAGTTGTGTATAAATTCTTTTGATAGACTTAAAAGTAATTAAAGATCCTCTTTGATGTTTCGTTAAACATAAATTTTCTTTGGTCGTACGCACAATTTTCCCACAATTTATATACAGTATAGATTCTTATCATTATCATCATTTATATAAATGTAAATATTTCAATGTTTAATGTACAAATTTTCTCATAATAAATCAAATTTTTTGTTATCACTAACTTTCATCGATCATATTGCAATAAATTATCATATTCTGACTATATAAATATAAGACTTATTGTTTCATTACTCACCTCATGTTAATCAAATATTGAGCGAGGGCAACAGCATCGGGATTGCCGCTTATTGTAATTGTTCGATCGGTATTTCCACCTTCACGTTCCTCGCAATTCGATATGCGAATCATGGCACCGGATATTTGGCGTATTTCAGCAATTTTGGTGCCTCCTTTACCAATAATGCATCCAATTAAATCATTTGGCACCGTCATTTCATGCTGCTGTGTATTTGTTTGTGTTCGACTTGCTGCCGTACGTAATTGTGAGCCAGCGAGGGCGGCAAGTGCTGTGGATGATGAAATTAAAAGGAATTAATTATCAGATATCTTTAAGAAATAAATTTAATTATGCTAATGACATCATGAACATCACAAGCATAGCAATAGAGTAAGGATATAAAAAAATAAAGGTAAACGAAGAAAATACTAAATTTGGCAATTACAGTTATTGATACCTGTTGGATTTAATCCACCAGTATTTTGAGGAATAGCACCGGCGAGTCCTAATGCTGCGAGTCCTGCGAGTGGATTCTTTGACAGTCCAGTCATCTGAAAATAAAAATTAAATTCAATTAAAGTTTTAAATTTAATTAATTAAATTTTCCATTAGCATCAGCTCGTCATTGTATGAGCCAGAAGTGAGTGAGTGAGTGAGAGATTCTATCAGAGAGAGAATATATATTTTAAATTTTTAAGGTTTAATTGACGGATGTTCCATTAACATCAAGTGTATGAGAAAGAGTCGGAATCTGTTGACAGTTGTAATTGAACCTTAGATTAGATAGAAGCACTTTAACTGAAAGTGTCGTAAGTTAAATTAAAAATTTGATTACGTGACATCTTTATTCAGTTATGTCATTTTCTATTTGAATTTATAATTTATTTAGTTTTAATATAGAGATGGATGCTTATATCCATTTTTATTTGAAGATGTAAGTTCAGTTTTGTAGACTCGTTTGGTTTGGTGAGATTTGAATTTAATTTTATGAACTTTTTGTAAGTTTTCAAAATTTTGAATCAAGACTGTCGATTGAGGTCCCTCCCCTTACTTAAACATTTAAATCATATGCAGTTCCAAGTACTTAACTTAGAAACTCTAAAATTTTACAAATATTCCTCAGCACACCCAACTTATAAACAACAAAACAAAATGATAAATTCAAAAAAAAATACAAACTCGAATTCGAATGTTTGCCTTATTAATGCCCTAAAGGTTCTTAAATATTTACTATCCCAACATTGTCAACACGACAAATTGCCACAATAAAGTAGCTTTGTTGACAAACTTTCTCCTTCATAAAATATTTAAAATTGTTCACACTTTGTTTGTAGCACAAAACATTTTAACTTTAATCCTTAAAAAAAAGTTGAAACTGGATCAGAAATTAATTTTGTAAATCCACCTTTCAAGGATGTCAGAGAAAAAAAATCTGCAGCTGAACTATAAAAACCCCAATCATTATTCAATTTAGTTCCAGAAACTTTTCATTTGTTCCTCAAAACAACAAAATCGGTGAAATAAATTTTTTTTACATTTAGATTTATTTCCTCTTTTTCTGGCTTCACATTTTTTTTTATTTTTCTCCATAGCCATAGCCGAGACGATGATGGAGCCTGACATGGACAGATTTAAAACAAAGTGGTTGTATGTGAATGTGAATGAGAATGAGAGGGTGAAATAAAAGCTGGAAAAAGCCAAGCATTTAGCTATGTTTTTGCATATTGAATAGAACTGATGAGTAGCTTAAGTGCTTGCATATTTCTCTAGAACAAGCTCTTCAGCAACATAAAATAAAAGTTTTATGCACCTGTTTTGAGGCTGCTGCTACCTCTTGTAAGTAAAACTTTTTTCCGAGATTTTCAAGAAGATTAATTTTCAGTTTGAGGAATGATGTGGATGGGATGAAGACAAGTACAGACAAGGAAATCATAAAATCAAAAAGAGAATTTTCTAAATTTAGGTTTGGCTTTGGGGGTCGTTCATAAATGATGTTTGGTTTTTTAAAAAGGGTTAGTCAGACTTTGTGTGACACTTTGGGTGGGTTTCTCGGTTTAAACTTACTTTTATCTTTGCATTTACATCAACTTAACGTATACACTTAAGAGTAGGTGCAGATGTAGAGATGGGAGTAGCTTTTTAACCTAAAAACCCGCCCTTGACAAAAACTTTGTGACAGAAAGGGTGGAAAAAATAATATTTTCATGAACATCATTTACGAATCATCCCCCATTAGTTAACGTGATAAATATGTAAATAAAAAGGAAGACATACACAGAGAATGGTGTTACATAAATGAATAAAATAACAAAAAAAAACTTTCTCGTGTTGTAGAATTTGTTAACGTGTAAAAAAAAAGGAGGAAATAGAAAACTAGATGTGGACACTGAGGTTAAAAGTGAGTGAATCGGAGAGATGGAGCAACAAAACAAAAAAAAAACAGAGGAGATAAACAGGAAGAAGAAAAAAAAAATGGAAACAACATATGTGTGGTTTGATGTTGCGGTCAATTGTTGTTAACACATGTAACAAAAATTGTGTACGAACGTGAAGGAGGAGGTTGAAAAAATACATTTATGGACGTGGACGGAAGGGAAATTGGAATGCTTAGAGGTAAATAGAAAGAAACACTAACTGAAAATGTGAGAAGGAAGTGGAGTGAGCATAAAAAAAACCAAAATGGAGCACACGTAATATGGAAATTGGAAGTGCAGGTGGTTTGGCTATGGTTATACACTTTTCAGTCATAGAATGAATAAAAAAGAAAAATGAATATTTGACTTAAGGAAAAAAAGGACAGAAAAGGGATGTGCCAGCAAAAAAGAGAAGCCAAAAAGTACTTTTTTATGAATTAAAAATTTATTATTTTTTAATTTATTGTCGCAAAAAAAAGTAGCATAAAGCATAACGTTTCAGGTCATTTTCCTTTCGCTCCTTTTATATTCCATGTAAAATATTCAAAAGACATTATTGTGTTGTTCTTTTCTATTTTTCTTTATGGTCTTATGAATTAGCGGGCGAACGAATGAACAATAAAGTATTAAAAAGGCGTCCTTTTCCTTCCCTCCATGCCTTAACCTCCTTCATAACAGAGAATACAAACAAAATGATGACAATGTCCTAACTCTTTCATTCTTTAATGTTATTAATTTATTTTTTCGTCATTTTTAACATAAATAATTTTCTCAAAGGTTCATTTTTTTCTCCTTTGATCTCTCCACCTCCTTCACTCACTTCTTTATTGTTATTATTATCATCATCATTATTATTATGAACATGCATATAATTTATTTTATGTGCTTTGAAAATATTCGTTTTTTGATATCTTTGTAAAATTTAATATGTCGGATATGATTGAAATTATAGGAGTGCTCACTTATGATGTCTTTGGAAAAATAATTAAGTTCTATTAATGCTTAGACCGGTTCAAAAATTGCATAATCTTTAAAGTTTAAGGATAGTAATTTTGGTTGCTTGATAAACCCATACTACGGAAGTGTCGAAAACGATCGTTAAATTTGAATTTAAATTTTAAAAATCTGTTAAATTTTGAAATTTGAATTTAAATTTTTAAAAATCTATTAAACTTTGTTCGGCAAATGTTGGTTAAATTAAAAAAAAAGTTTAGGATTGTTTTTCATTTAATAAGCATGTACAATGAGTAAATTTGAAATCACTTCGACACTCTTTGAGTTCTTTGACACTCATTGTCGAAATAATTCGACACTCAGATACCCGTAGTGCGGATAAACCTAGATAGAATAATGGGCTTTCCTGATTTAATAACACAAAGAATCTGAATTAGGAGAGCTCGATGTCAATTCTGTTTAAATCAACTTGAATCGTCTTACTCGACTAGACCTTTGCTCTTTCTGGGTTATTCAAAGTTTATGTAAAATTATGAATGAAGAAAATCAACTCAAATATTCTTAAACTGCATCAAAGAAGTCAAAACAGTTTCATCAATTTTTGGACGTAAAATTCTAAACAGAAGAGCATTAAAACCTCAACTACGGTACTAATATAACATAAGGTAAGTAAACCTGACGCTATTATAAACTAAGTTTAAAAAAATTTCCATTTTAAAATGATATTATTCTCCAAAACTCAATTATTAGACATCATCTGTGAACATCATCCCCAAAAATAAATTTCAATTTTATTCAATAAAAAAAAAGTTCTACTAATGCAATAAAATGTAAAATAATAAATAAAAAATCAATATCCTTTGAAAAAAAAAACTGACAAAATTTGTACAATAAACTCATCAGTCCATCTATCTTTATCCCTCATTCAAAACTTCCTCTGGCTTTATGACTACATAAACATATACATAGTTACACAAAGAGAGAGTGAGTCACACAGAGGGAGATAGATCGACAGAAAGTGAGCTTTTTGATATATCAAAAAAAAATGTTATGTACATTGGACTACTGGAGAGTTTTTGCCACAGGGGTCAGTTGACATCAATATTATTAGAATACAAGGTAAAGTTTATTTTACTGTTTTGTCATTTATCAAATATCATCATTTCAACATCATTGAGTTGTATTTACTTTTCATTTACATTTTTTTTCCTGTGCCTGATCTTCTTCATTTTATTAATAATGAGAGAAGAACTAATGAGTTTTTTTATGCTCCATACCTTTTCAAATTTAAGCTTTTTTGTATGTCAAGATTTTTTTTTCAACTTTAAATAATCAACAACTCAGTGATGAAAATGAATGAAAACTATTCACATTCATACAGTTAAAATGAACTTTATTTACAGTTTAAAAAGGGACGAGATAATGCGTACATGACAAAATTTTAATATCTTCATCAGACTGTACACATTTCAATTTATATTAAAATAGTAAAAAGTAAAAATGGAGATGGATGGGTTGTGAAGAAAAATGGATTTTATATCTATGATGTAAGCAACTGTAATTTTTCAGTTGTGCGATGGGATTTGGGGAGCAATCATGAAATGAAATATCATTTACAATATACTCAACCATACTAATGTGATTATTAGAACATAACCCTTTCATGTTTGTTGTGCTTCTTAAAGATTTTATGAAAGGTTCTTTAAAGTTTTTTTAAACGAAAAATGTTGAGTTTGGATATGAATTATATGATGATGTTTATGGAGATTTAACTCAATTGTCATTAAAGTTTTGAGGAATTGATGATTAACAAGTAAGCTTTAAAATTCATTTCAACTGTGTAAGAACTTTAATGTCATAACTATATAATTGGCATAGTCTGTCAAATTTAAATGTAATTATCTTATTGACATCATCCAGAGCTCAAAGTCAATGAAATTTTGTATGGAGTCAAGTCGACTCCGCCATACAAAACCGATGAAAATCTCGACTTCAAGCTCTGGCATCATCTAGGTCAGCTAAAACTTAGTCTGGAATAATTCTTTGGGCTGGTTTCATCTAAATGGCGTAGTTTTGTGAAGATACAAGACCTAACAGACATAAAGCATAGCTAAAGGTACTGTAGCGTAAATTTCTAAAACTCTGAAGCATTTGAGCTTATAAAAGAACTGCTAAACACGCTCTTTGTCGGTTAGTCATCAATAAGACATTTATGAGCTAGCTTGCTGCTTTTATTATAATTGACTAATCTCAAAATAAATTTAAAAGCTTTTTGAGGCAAATAGATCAGTAAATACCGTACTTGAATCCTTTCTACATCCAATCTACTGATAAAACTTCCAATTTTCCAAGAAAATGCACTTCAAATAATTATTTTGCAGCAAAATTCAAGTAAAATCTCTTTTGTTAAAGAATATAATGGAATTAGAACTTAGATGCTCTAAATATTCACTCATACGTGTTCATACACTTTAATGCACTCAAGAAATAATCTTCATTTGATTCCATAATGCATGTTCAAGCTAAAAAGTTGGTTTTTCATCAACATTATCATCATCATCGCATCATAATAATCGTAATCATTTACATCGTCGGAGAAGAAGCTAGAAAAACTTTTGAATTCATTTAATGAAATTTTCTTGCAACAAAAAAGTTGAGGAATCGAAAAAAAAAAGTTAAAAGTAAACCTCTCAACCACTTTTTCTTATAATCCAAAGAAACTTTTTTAAAAAACGCAAACAAAATAAAAAGAAATTTTAATCCACACAGAAAAAAAAGAGTTAATATATAAAGGTATTAAAATTATATGCAGTAAAAGGTAGCTAAATTACCTTTCAAACACATACATATGGATATATATCTACACACAGATTTCTTTTTCAAGTAACAAGAACACCATTGGATGGGAATTTGATGACTATATATTACACAAATGAGCGGTGGAAGGAGGGAAGGGGAAAAGTAGACCCAAAAAAAAAGTAAAGACCATCAAACTCAAATTAATGATAGAAAAGGAAGATCTCATGAGAGAATTAAGGCATAAATGGAGGGCAATAATGATGGAAAGTTTGTTAAAGCTAATTCCATTACTACTAATGCATATCATTTTCAAAAAACATATTTATATTTATGTCTCATCACACAAAAAAGCGACAAAGTTCAGCCATAATTGATTGAAAAATAATTAATAAATGATTACAATGTGTGTGCCTACATGAGGGAACCAATCAAGAGGAGAAGGTAATACTCTATTCGAAATTGATTACATGTTTAATAACAAATTTTTGGAATTTATGAATTACAAGGTAGGGGATCATGTACATACTCAAAAAAACATTTTACATTTCCAATGATTAGATTTATATATAAAAAGTGGAGTTGGGGGCAGAGTACCATTCAAAAAAAAAAAGAACATATCAAAAATAAATAAATTCTGATATTTTTTTTTCATCATTTAAATTGTTTTCAAAAAAAGACTCACATCAGGCAGCTGTTGGAAATGATGTGGAGGCACTGCTCCATGTAAATGTGATCCTTTCATAAGGGGATCTGTCAGACCCGTTAAACCCGCGTGAAGGCCAGAAAATAGTGGAAATACTGTGCATGTCTAGCATATATATATAGTTGTACATAATGACATTATATACTTTTAATAATATTATGGTTCTATGTAAATAAATCAATAAATAGAGGCAGAACAATAGGCTTTAGAGGATGAAGCGGCAGGGGGTGGTAAATATTATTATTTATTATTTATTTAATCATATTATATGTCAATTAATCGATACTATTGCTTTTCATTCATTTAATCAACTGCTCAGTAGCTCAAACTACAAACTTAATTGAAATATTTATTGAAAATGCGAGTTGATCTTGTGGAAGAGAACTGGATTGATACTGATAAGCTTCAAAGTTCTTTATTTCATGAAGTTTTTGAGACGGAGAAAAATATTTCAAATGTAAATTCTGATTTTTATTAAAAAGAGTTTTTAATTGTTTTCGAGTGGGAATTACTGGATGTAAAATGTTTTCTCTTAAAGTTTTAGTTTATTACAATTTAGTTGAATGTTCAGAATATTTTGCGAAAACTTATTTGGAAAAATTTGATTGAACAGAATTCAGAAAATTGTTGTTTGAATTGGAACAAAATTTAAAATTCAAACTTTAAGTACTATTTTGTTTGTTATCGTGATACAGGAAACATTTGACTTATTTGGTTTTATTGCGCTGAATTGAAGTGGATTTTTATAAATGGACTTTTAAATAAGTGATTCTGCTGTTGCAAAATATTGATCGTTATGATCGAATAGATAAATAACAGACCTATTTATTTATGAAATATTAAAGGTTCCATTTCTAGAAGATGCTGATCTTTAAATATTATTTTGTATGTCAAAGATTTGAAAACTTCAAAGGTTTTAAAAAGTCATGAATATTCCGAAAAAACCGGAATCCAGTGTCACGATTGATTTTGTCAAAGTTGATGATTTGAATAAAATTAAAGTTGTTATTGGTCATTAGAAGTCTTGCAATTAAGAGCAATTAGAAAACAATTGAGAATCTAAAACAGCATCTGGACTTTTAATCAAACTTTAAGTCAATATGATTCTAGCAAGTTTCTATAATTGCTTAAAAATTAAATATGTAATAAAATCTTTTATCCTCAATTTCATTGAAGAAATTGCAACAAATTTCTCACCAAAAACTCACAATATGGTCAGATTTTACATTTGAAATATTTTAAGTCTTTTCTACGTCAATTGTGTTATCAAATTTTAAGCTTCTTTAGCAACAAAAAAGAACAAAAAATTATATTCTCAAAGTTTCGAATTTCATAAAAAACTTTTACTTCATCATTTTTTTTGCTAATTGCTCTGGGAAAAATATCCAAAGTACAAATTACTTTTGCTCGCAATTGGAAAGATTCAGAAAACGCGAAGAACTACAAAACATATTTTAGAAGTTAGAAACTGAATGATAAACTTTCATATTATTTTGAATCATCCATGAGCTTTTTATAAATGTAATTCATCTCATTATTATTGGATTTACGGTGGAAGTAATGAAATTATAAGTGAAAAATATTTTGTATCAAAAACTTTTCCATTCTCACATCATGATGTTGTAGCATCGAAGGAAATAATTTATATTTTTATAGTTTTTGTGTTGAGTTGTATGAAAAGTTTTATCTGTTCTCGGACTTCCTACTAGTTTGTAGTACATATTTTTTTAGTTCCATAAAAAATTGTAAAAGCTCTTTTTTATGTCATGTTTTGTAGCGTCATCAAAACATAATAAAAAGGACACTAACAACAGCGGTATTATTCTTTTTTTCATAATATTCATTCAGGATGAAGAGACAAAAGCAGGAGATGATGGCTTAATTAAATATTTACCTGCTCTGTTGGTACAGCGAAATTTCCTTGTATAGTATATGCTTGACCATTGGCTAAAATGACTGGTCCATTTACTTGCGGTTTTGGTCGATATGGTATGGTTGCACCTTTGGGAGGACTCTGTAAATAGAATAGAATGGGAGAGAAATGGTTAAATAAACAAAAATAATTTGAACCCAAAAAGGCAGCAGCAGCAGCAGAAGGGAAAAATATCGCAGCAAAAAATCAATTATGAAAGCATCAGCAATGTTGGAGACGAACTTTTGCATTTTTGCCTGGGTTAGGATGATAAAATTTATGTAGACAAAGTCAGTTTAAGATTGGCGAGAGCGCATTTTTCTTGAAGATTTCACTGAATATTGACCATCCAATTTAAGACACTTGAAAAGATGTAGTAAAAGAAGATTCTCTTAAATCATCAGCGGCCTGTTTCATTAAAGTAGATTATCCTCGATTTCGGATTATCCACTTCAGTTTTTTGGAAATTTCTCCATACGCTTAAGGTTATTAAGAGATCTAATGTGTGATCTAGTTAGAGTACTTTGCTACTTAAATTAACATACACTTAGAATTTTTATATCTTCATTAGTTTGAGAATTATAGCAAAAACCGAAGTTAATCTTCTAGATTTGGCTAGAAAATTGAATAATTAATACTTCTAAACGAAAAGCAAAAGTTTTAAGTATACAGAAATTTCAGGCATAGTTTACTCTATTATAATCCAAAATTAGAAATACTACACCTCCCATAAAGTTTAAGATATTTGCAAAAAACTGAAGTGGATAATCCGAAATTGAGGATAATCCACTTTAGTGAAACAGGCCGCAGGATCTCTTTAATTGATTAAGAGTGCTCACCAGGTTTTCTGGGACTCAAAAAGAATTCATAATCATTCCCCAAAAAAGGATAAAACTCAGTCATTCGCTTTCATAATTATTCAAGAAACTATTAACTACTAAACTGTCACTGCTGGTGAAAATTGTTACGTTCACAAATTTTGCGTTATTCAATAAGGTAGCTTATGTACATATTTTCAGGTCAGAAGGAATTCACTTAAACAATGTTGAATAAGTGACATAAACACACGTACACACAGACTGATTCCCACTCATACAATCACACGACGACAATTCCATTCAATGTGTAACCGAACACAAAAATATATAAATTTTTGCCTTTTGCATAATTTTTAACTGGCAAGCAGTCACAGAAAAAAAAAAGGATTTAGTGAACATATATGAGGTTTTGATTGCTTTGAATGAGGAAAGCTCATTTCCATTTTTATTTTACAAAACATTTTCATTTTCTCTCATGCTTTACATCTCATTCCCATGTTTTTTGGCTCTAAAATGACGAATGACAATCATACGGAATGTCATACAATGTTACATACAAATTGATTGCTGCAGCAGCACCATGAGAATGAGAATGAGGAATAAAAAAATTATGCGAACGCTATTTAAATTGAAATAAAAATGGGAAATGCATCTGTGACCGCACAGCACGATACATTTGCTATTTCTTCTGTTCTGAGCAACATAAAAGTAATCGATTTTGAGACTTAATGCAATGAGGAAAAATGAGCAGCACTGAATCATTTTTTTTAATTCCCATAAGATGACTCTATTATGGCGAACAAGGAAGTAAGGAAACATGAAAGAAAGTTCCTTTAGAAAGAGCAGGCATGATTGCATAATTCTCAATTGAATTGAACAATATTTGCTTTATTCTGTGCCATTCTACTTCCCATCCTTATTTCTGAATATATAAAGTAATGAAAATTAATTAAAAATTGAAATATTCATGGCCATAACATGATGATTATATCATTGCAAAAGAGCTTTGATTATGATTAAAAAAAACCAAAATGCTCAAAATTCCCCAACTCGGGTCGAGTAAAATGAAAGTAATGAAAATCTCTTTTATTACTTAATTCAAATCGAATTTTTGAAAAGACTTTTAATTTTTTAAGCTTTTATTACGGAACTGAATAAACAAGAGTGGAATGACTATGCAAAAGAGCATTCGTTTCGATAAATTAATAACACTTGCAATGCTGTGTGAAAAATATTCCATTGATGCACTCTGCGAAGATTAAATGCATTCCACTCTTTTGTTTGGTGGATGCTGAATGTGCGAAAAGACGCGAAGGGCTTTTTTAAGTTATGAAAAGGAATTTCCAACGAGGAATACCAGGAAATCCTCTTAAAAATTCATAAAATCTTCTAGTGAATTCTTAAAAATGAAAGAATCAAGATTCTCGGAATTTCAATCCTTTTGGGACATTTGAATGCTATTTGGAAGATTGAACCTTGTTTAAAATCAGAAATGGTATTGAACTACCTAATAAATTATTCATAACTTAAAGAGATTTGCAAATAAACATCCAGAAAATTATAACAAATTCTCCTCAAAATCCACATAAACTAGAAATCAATCGTTTCCAAAAGAGAACTCAAGCGCACATCAAACTCGACATCTGAGTGAAGTATTGTTTGTAGCATTTCATACACGAATGCTCTAATCAATCTTCTTATCATCTCAGTCAAAATAAATTTCAAACCCGTAATAAAAAATGATTGTAATTCTCTGTTGAATATCAAAATATATTCGTAGAAGGTAAATCCATCGTGATTTAGAACTTCTCACCCCAATGCAAGATTTATTGAAGAGGATTTTCTGTACTCAACGATAAATGCACATCTCATTCTATTTTAGAAACCTTTTTTTTTATAATTTTTCCAACCAACAGCACATCCATATGTGGTGTTGACTAACTGGCAAACTGGATTTAAGGAAAAGGATTGTTTACATAAAAAATTACACGAGCTATAATTACATTAGCCAATATTTTTTTGTATGTATCTACAATGGGGTTGAATGAGAAACTCTCATAACAACAATAAGCTTATTTGAACTATTTTTAAATATAGTATCAACATTGGTATGAAGAATTTCTCTTTCCTGCTTTTTATTATTCAACAAAATCCTCACAACATCCTATTAGTCGCTTAATGAATAAATTTTTCAACTTGCATTAACTTTTTTACTCCCTTTTTCACACTAAATATTCTGTAAGTAAATAAGTTGAGTTGCTTATGTGTCTGCTCATGAAAATTTAATGAATCTCAGTTATTTATTTATCTGAGAAAAATTTTCCTTTCCTTTTTTCATTTCCCCATTCCATTAAATAAACAAATGAAGAAGCAAAAAATATTTTAAAGTGAAAATATTTTCCTCAATTGACACATTTTAGAGTGAGAATCGAGATAGATGTAGGATATAATTTCCATTGGGAATGATATTGATGAGTGGTGCACAACTTTCATTTACCACGACATTGGCACTTTACTCCATATCTAGTGATGGATAACGTTTGACATGTATCTGGAGGTTGGTTTGGAAATGACGTCTGATTCTTTTAGGAACAACCCCTTTTTGCTAGTTAAATATCGTTACTTGAAGTGGTGTGGTGGTCGAGAAAGTATGTAATTAAAATACTTGAATCCCAACATAAAAATCCTAGGTTCAAATCTTGACAATGTAATTTGTCATTTTACGAATTAAAAGTGTGCTGTGAATTAGGTTCATCTCCTTTTATTGTAGATTACATCAAATACCTACATCGATAGGCAAAGGTTCCAAACCTTCTATAATTGTTGATCTATATTTGATCTCAAATCTGTAAAAAATACGTCTTCAGAGCAGTCCCTTCTAAGCCTTCCATCCTCCCTCCGGCACTCAAAATTATTGAGTTCATTAAAATAGGAACCTAAGATCAAATTGGAAATCAGGAGATCCTTAAATTAAACTTATAAACCCCTTATGTGCATTTTTGTATACCTTTCTATAGATTGGGTGACCTCAGCGGCTTAGCCACTCCAAAAATTTAACATCACACCTGAATAACCCCATAAAGCACACATGCATATGAATACATCAACTTGAAAAAGTTTAGAAAGGAAAATAAATTCAAATTTCCTCTATTTCGACTCATATGACAGGTAATAATAATGTGTATTAATCCTTAAAACACTGTCCACTCCAATGCGTATCTCGTATTTAGATATTTGTGTCCCCATTTCATTCTCTATAGTCACATTGTGAGGAATATAAAAAAAACTATCATAGAGAGAGAGAGAGAGAAAATAACTCAACATGATGGGAATTTGATACAGTTGAGAATTTGTGATATGTTGTCCGAGAGATGAGAAGAGTAAGCACAAAAAAAATCACACAGAAAATATTATGTGCATCAATGTATGTGTACTTATAGTCTCATAATTCTCTATTATCCCTTCAGAATATGCATATACAAATTCTCTACATTTCTCATCACCATCATCATCATCATGACTATATATGCGGAATAAAATTTGTAGCTTCATAAATTCATATATAAATGTATGAATGTATGAACTTGAAGTCTCTAAAGACGCATTTGTGATGATGAGAAAACATGAACTATCACTTAGTTTAAATAGCAACATAATACTGTATGATCATGCCTTTTTTTCATGTGTACATATTTTACTGAGTGTAAATGTGTACACTTCGCCATAGTCCGATTGTAACTAGATGGACGTGGATTAAGACTATTTGAGTTTAGAATCCTTGACTTTCTACCCAAAGGAGCTATTTCAGACTCACAACTAGGCCAGGTTAAAAATTTCTTAATGAAATGTCTAATATAAATCTCAGAAGTAAAATTACAAGCTTAAGAAAACAGATTCAGTCATTTTCATAACAAAATCTTGCGGTGATGGTAATAAATCCATAACATGGAACAATATGTATCATATATCCATACCCCCTAACAGCATTTGCTTATCAAGTTCGTTTTTTATGGATTTCAACATCCACACACATACGCAAAATACAAAAGGAACAGAGGATTATTACTAAATGATAATATTAAACACTCACCTCGAGCATAACACAGCAGATCTGATGAATACATTGAGTTATAGCATCAGATGTACCAGTCAGTGTAACAGCACGTTCCGTAGAATTTGGCAACATTTCGCTCGCTACTTGAATTGAACATCCGGTCACTTCACGAATCTCTTTAATTTTTGATCCTCCTTTTCCTTTATTATTTTGATTGTTTTGATGCATAAAGATAATGTGATTGTATACGCACAATAAATGAGATGATGGTTCGTAGCGGTTAACATTGAGTGATGTGATGAACAAAGGAGCAGCATCATTGTTTTGTTGTAGTAAGCGAGACGAGACGAGAAGATAAAGAATAAAAAAAAAGAGAGAAGAGAAAAAAATGAAATTCATTTTCTAAATCCCTTTAAATCACTTAAAATAATGGCAAAAGAATGAGGTGGGTTGATGGTTGTACGGAATGATGGTGTTATGCTAAAGCATGAAGATTCTCTGAGATTTGATTTTTCCATTCTTTTTTTTTCATCTACTCATCCTCGCGGCCTTCAAAAAATTTATTCATTCTCATTCGCTTTTTCCACCCGCCAACGTCAATTTTAATGGAATATTGACTTTAAAGTAAGGAAATGTGAGTAAGTTAATAGGGAGGATTTAGCGACACTTTTGTTTGGCGTACGGATTCAACCTAGTAGGGGATGAATGATTGATGAAAATAAATTAAAAATCTTCCGACAAATTATTTCATGAGAACTTATAATCACATGATTTATCATCCCTGCACACACTTCCTGTGATTTAAAATTCAATTTTTTTTTGTGAAAGGGAATTTCTCATAAGAAGCTCTCATTCTGCTCATCATTTCACTTGAGAGATTAATTTATTCCGTCAAGGGCAAAGTAACTGCTTTGCTTAGATTTCCCGCATGTTTACTTTATGCTCGACATTATGAAGCACAAAAGAAAGAATTTAAATTTTCCAGGGAAAAAGCACGACGAAAATCTCCACGGTGATTCTGCTGTCTTATTTAATAAGTTTTTTTGAAAAAAAAAATAAGAAAGTCTTTTGAAATCTTTTAAGAACTTTTTTTTTTCGGTACGCGGAATTGAATTTTAAGGGTTAAATGTTGTCGTTTATTAAATTACTTTTGATAATAAATTTCGTTTCATTAAACAAACTTATATAAAAGTTAATTCAATTTGTGATTCATCAGTGATTTTAATTGTATTAAATTACTTTTTAGAATATAAGAGCTATTGTGGGATTTTCTGTTGTACGGAAAGTTAATTGAAGTCATTGAATTTCCATTTAAAATTTTCAATTGTTACCAACTGTTTGAATAAATATGAAGTTCTGTTGTTTCTCTGTTGTTGGGTTGAATTCATTTTGACAATAAATTGTTGTGAATAGGATTCATCTATTATTTACATAAATATGTTTAAGAACTTTTTCTAGAATGATTTTGCAAGATCAATAGTGAATATTTATGTTATTATGAAATCAATTTAAGATGTAATGACGTAAATAGATTTAAAACTGAACTTTTTGGATAAACTTGACTTCCTTGAAGAATTTAAGAATCGATTATTCAATATTCCTGAATAATAAACAGATTTTAATTTGAATTAAAGAGGTTTGAAGAAAAAGCTTAGCTAGAACTAGTATAAAGTTGATGAAATCAGTTGAATTCAAAAGAGAATTGATCAGTTTAGAAGAAAACTCATTTAGCCAAGTTTCTTGCTCGAAATTAAAGTAGTTGAATGTCAAAACTGCTCTAAAATGTTGAAAACAAGTTAAAACTACATTAATTTACATCAATCAAGCTATATTTACTCTTCCTTGAAGTTTACAGATGATCTTTCCAGAAAAATTTATCTTTTAATAGAACATAAACCTACTAGCTATCAAATAAAATCTCTTTCAATTCTTACATTTCAATCTCAATAACAATTTTCTATTCCTAGAAAAACCAAATTCCCCACAACAATGATTTTCATTAGATTTTATTTCCCTCGTACTTCTTCATTTTATGAAAAAAAAAATAAAAATCAAAAATACATAATCGAAATTGACGTAACCAGAATGAGCTATTATGAAGGCATGTTTTCCTATATTCTCAATACATAAGCAGTAAAATGAATAACGAAGTAAATGGAAAAGAAAGGGAAATTATTATCGTATGAAAAATGAATAGAAAAGAAGTAGGAAAAGTGGCAAAAGAAAGCTCAGGGAAATTGCTGATTTTTATAATTTAATTAAATGCAAATATAATGGGATGTGAAGAAGCAGAACATAGAACAGCAATAGCATGGAAACGAGAGAGAACTGTTGTGAGCGATAACAGTGATTGAAGGATGAATTGTGAAAGTAAAAAAGGAGGCAGCAACATTTCTTTCAATTTCAACTTCTCCTTTTTTTTATTCGTTAATCGTAAAAAGAGATTTAGATTTCAGGGATTCATTTACTTTAATTGTTAAAGAACAAATAAAGGACCTTCATTCTGTTAGATAATAAAAAAAAAACCAAATTGGTAATTCCTTTGCGTTTAATACGACACAATGAAAGCACACCGAGAATGTTAGAAGAGTGAGTAAATGAAGGGAATCTAGATAAATATTGGTGAGATTTGTGGGATAATAAAAATTAATTTAAAATCATAATGAACAAGAGAAAAAAGTCTCTTTAAGGATTAGATGATTTTTGGCGCATTTCTAAGTGGATTGTTTGGTCAATCATTAATATTTCACTTGGTTCTTGATTCGAACTTTGGGTTATGATTCAAATTTGGCTTTCGATTTAAATTTAATTCTTGATTCAAATTGATTTTTGGTTCTTGATCTTAGATGTTGGTTTAAGCAGGTTTAAGGTTAAACCTCTAACCCACTAAGTTCGGAATTAAAAACAAATATGACTAGTTTTCAAAATTTAATTAACTTTTATAAGAAATCATAAAAAATATTCAAAACCCTCCAAAAAAATCAAATTTCCAACAGAGATTCCGTTAAGCTTTATAGGACAATTTAACATGAATGATGAAATGAAGGAGCTGGACATTAAATTAAAAGTAAGAACTTTGTACAGTAATAGAGAATTTTGCTTTCATCAACGATAAAGAACACGACGAAGGGAAGAAGCAGAATAAGGCGAGAAGAACGACAGTTGGGCGAAGGATAAGTGGATGAATGAAGATTAAATTTAAAGAAAAAAAAATATACAATAAGGAATGGAAATAAGAAGAATAAAATGAAAATACTGTAAAAGAAAAAGAGAAAGAAAAAAGATAAATGGTTTGAGTGTAAAATTATTTACCAATTAAACTTCCACACTGACTTGCTGGAACAATTAAGCGGAGTGGAATTTGTGTTTTGCCATTTGATGTGCTAACGTCATTAAATTGGGAACACCACTGTAATGGGATAGTTTTTTTTTGTTTTATGATTTAATTAATTCTTTTTTTTTCGGTCCCCGAAGCGAATACAGAATGCTCAAAGTCAGTCACCATCCACATCTGTCAACAATATGAAAATATCACCCAAAGGACACACCTGGAGGATGTTAACATGAATGATATTTTTAGCTAATATTGAGGAGGTGGAAGTGGAGCATAGATAAACTTTTTTATTAAGGAATTAGGCTCCCATGTGACTGTCATTAGAATATATTGCATTGTTCGGGACCCGAGCAACACAAAGTAGGCTTCCATGTGGAAGTCTTGTGTCACTCGGGGGATTAAGATAAATATATTAAATAGTATGAATGGTTAAAGTAAAAAGAAAATGAGGAAAAGAGATATGATTAAGTGAATTGCTTAAGGAGATGGGAAATTTTCTCGACCGCATCTTTGTAACCGCTAACAAATATTTCCCCTCACATTTCATAATAGTGCTCACATTAAACTTCTTTTATCTGTCTATCTATCTTACTGTTATATATTCATTAGATTGTGTGAAAAATTTGATACGATTTTTCACAAAGCTCTGTGGTTTTTCCTTTCCTGTTCTATTATAATGCAGAAGTGATGGACGTTTCTAGTAAAGCTCATACATATTAATAAGGGATAAAATGCAGCATAATTATGAAAATTTTTCTCATACTTTTATTCCTCATTACTCATCAATTAACGTTGAAAATTTAATTTTTTTAAAAGTTTCTCACAAGAGCAATTTGTATAATTCATGGTGACATGGAAACATTGAAGTGATTTACATTAAGCTGAGGTTAGGTTTAGCGAATTCTATGCTGAACTTAAAGGTTGGATTGTGGGTCATAGGACCGACCGAATTTTCGGCCGAACTTCTGCTGAACTCCGGCCGAAGTTTTTTGAAATTTCGGTTGAAATTTCGGCCGAAATTAGAAAGAAATCTTGAATTTCTTTTTAAAAAGGTAAAATTTTATTAATTTTTTTGTATGAACCGAAGTTTTTTGACGAATTAAAACAATTTCGGCAGAAACTTCGGCCGAAATCTTGTGTAAACCAAAAAATTATTTTCTTTAAATCCATTTTTTCTGATTCACCGTGTAGTTTAACGTAGTACAAAAATTTGGGGATTATCCTCGGATTGAAAAAGTGGATAATCCGATCAGTGAATTATCGACCTTAGTGAAACACCGATTAATTTTCATTATTATTTTATCGTAACAATATTTTAATTAAAAATTTAAATAACAGAGTAATTCCTAGTACTTTACTACTACTTTGGTACTTTAGTTGTGTCTTGAAAAAATTCAAGTTTGCGGCCGAAATTAAAACAAACTTCGGGCGAAGTTTCTGCCGAAATAGTTTTAATTCGTCAAAAAACTTCGGCTCATACAAAAAAATTAATAAAATTTTACTTTTTTTAAAAGAAATTCAAGATTTCTGTCTAATTTCGGCCGAAATTTCAACCGAAATTTCAAAAAACTTCGGCTGGAGTTCAGCAGAAGTTCGGCCGAAAATTCGGTCGGTCCTATGATTCACGCCCTAAAGGTTGAGCTGATTTTACATTTCCACATGCTTAGCTGTTGGATCTTTTTTTAATTTACTATTAAGAGTTATTTTAAAATTTTGAATGTTTTTAATCGCTAAGAGAATTGAACTGAAGCTTGTCTACAGTTTTGTGGTAATATCAGACATGTGAAGGACTAGTTCTTGAAATTTAAGGTCTCCTTCCCAATTCAGAAGATGAGATAAACCAGTCCCAAGCGTCTAGAACCCCAACCCATCTTCAATTTTAACTTCTGCATAACTTAGCTTTTAATCTACTTAGAAAATCTTGTGAAGGAACGTAATAAAACTGGCATTCCTTCACCAACCCCTGACTAAAGCTCTAACCAAGGACAAATGACTAGGAAATTATGAAATTAAATTAAAAGCATTTCCCAATGACTTTCAAAGGAGATTCAATGAAAAAGGAAACATTTAAGCCAATGAAAGGAAAGACAGACTGACAATGTGTAGCACTTAATTTAATAATAAGGACAATGCACCATAAATGAAAATGTGAGGAATAAAAAAAGGAAGCTTATAAAACAATTTAAAAAAGAGATTTTTCGGTGAGAACATACACAAAAAAAAATGTTTATATAGCCGACAATCACTTGTAAATCGAAAGAAAAATATTGTTTTTATATCTTTGCGGATATATGTATATAAAAAAAAAGATACGAAGGAGAGTGAGGGGTTGGGATTGGAGAACATGAGGATAACATGAACATTAAATTAGGTAGGTGGAGATCATCCTTAAGCAACATACGGTTCGTTTCAGTGAGGATTTATTATAGGAAGACGGAAAACATATCTTACACATTATGACTTTTTCTCATTTAATTTTTCCTCTCAGATTTTTTTTCATCGAGTTCAAACATTTTTAATATTTTTTTTTGCTTTAAGATTTTTTTAAAAATGTTTGAAACCCCAAAAAATTAAATTTGAAACTTGTTATTGCATTTTAAAAAATAATTTAATAAAAAAAAACTCACCTCTTCAAATTTTTTTGTGATTAATGTAAATGCCTTGTATATAGCGCTGGTTGAACCAGAAACAGTCACAATACGTTCGGGACAGGATCCATCCGATATGTTTATTTTTGCACCAGACTATGATGTAATTTTAAAAAATGGAATAGAATATGACATTAATTAAATTTTCTCTCGTTAAAATGTAGGAAAGCATCAACGCATAAATGGATCGAAGAGGTTGACATGGGAAAAAAAAAGAATTTTTCCTCTGAAATAAAATGTTTTTTGAGCAAAGAAAAGTCGTTGATTTAATTAGTAAACATAATTTTTCATGTTCATCATCTACAATATTGCTATCCTAGCTATGACAATTTTTACAATATTACTTTATTGCCACAACGTCCAACTGGCTTCGAAAAATATCATTTAATATTTTTTAAAGAGATCGAAAAAGCAGAGAAAAAAAATATTTTTTTAACTGATTTTTATGCTTGTTGAACATTTACTTGACTTTTATTGCTGTTCCATAAATAAATTCACTTTTAGTTCAGTTTTGAATTTTTTTCTAATTTAAATATGATATATTTACAAGAGACTCGTGCATACTGAAATTTTTGTGAATTTTTTCGTGTTTATATAATTTTCCAACGTCGAGTATGTTTGCGATAAAAGTAATATTGAGCTTATTCCTCATTTAGTGTTGTCCTGGACGGAAGAGGGCGAGAATAAATTGCAAAAATTACGTACCAGGCTGACGTGGTGGTAGCAAAAAGGTAGATATCAGTGAATTAAGTTACGCGCTAGCCTTAAAGCGACATGATGTCACTATACACAACTTTCACAAAGATCATGCCTTTCAGGAACCGATTTGAAAAGCTACCTAAGGCAAGCTAGGATAAGAATAAAAGTCGATATGCTACAATATGAATCAGCCTAAGGTTAGATGCCTTAGTTAAGTCTGAATCTGTCCCCAAACGGAAAAGTTAAGTTTTTCTTCAACTTGATAAGTTTAAACCCCTGAAAACCACACCTCTAGTTCCATTACTCAGATATCGACTAGGTTGAAGCTACAGAAACTAATACTTAGCAACTGATTTGAGCTGGTCTGAGCATTAGCTTACATGGCTTAACCCTCAGAGGTGCCGTGGCTCAAAAGAGTTTGGACAACACTGGTCTAGACAAAGGAATTTTGATTTTTTTTTTCTAAAATAATTTTGACTTATTTTTTACATCTTGTCAGTCAGCATTTGGACTGCCAATTTTCCAATTTTAATCTCAAACCTAAGCCAACAAGTTTCATCATGTCAAACGTAACGAGACAAGAATTCCAGTTTGCACATGTTTTTAAACTTCTGTTTAAAAAAGATTTCCTCAACAACATTTCCATCATCAGACCTATCATTGCCGACAACGTCATCATCAACGATATTATGATGTTCGGGAGGTAAAGAAGAAGGAACCGAAAGTGAAAAAATATGTCACCTAATATAATAAACAACAAAATTCTTTTAAGACAGAGAAAGATGAGACGAGATGATGAAGGACATAAAATTACAATAATTGACAAAAGTGTGAAATTTTCTCTAACAAAAAATATAAATTAAAATGAAGATAAAGCGAGTTTCCTGTCTCTAAATTTAATTTTGCATGATGATGAATTGTCGATTTGATGAATGTAATGTAAAAATCATATTAACTGCCAATTATATATCGCAGATGTTTAATGATTAATATTGTCAAGTGTCAAATTAATGGAATGTACATCATAACAGCTATCATTACAGATATTATTATTATGTCATATAGTTAACAAAAGATTAATAGAATTGAGATTAAAAAATGTATTGTGAAATTTATAGCACTTCAATGATTTAAATAATTTCATATTTTTGCTCTTGTTACGCTGCATGATTTCTAACACAAGAATGTATTGTTGCCGTTATTGCAATATTTAGGTTCAATAAACTATCACAATAGATTCATATTTTCTGTTAAATTCTCGCACTCTTCTTCTCATTGACTTTATTGAAATGTAATGTATTGAACGATAATAACAATAATAGTTATTGTAAGCTGACTATCATCAACTTGAAGCATGGCATGGTAAAAAAGTTTTCGATATTAAATTGAAATAAATTTATTTTACAGAGATTTAAGCAATGTTGTATCGAATATTGGAAATATGCATGAAATATTATGTTTTTTTGCTCACTTTTTCTTGAAGAAAATTGGACTAAAGTCTGCATTTTGGATGACTCAATCATATCTTGCTTGAGGCTATGTTATACCAGTAAACTAAAGCTATTCTATTTTACTATAGACACCACTAAGTCTATGTGTGACCTACACAGTATTCTAGATCGTTCTTAAATGAAATAACTGACCAAAAGAGGGAAGGAGGGGGGTCAATGTCATTGAATCACTATTTTACGATATTATAAAATTTTTTGGTGTTCCCTTATTCAAACTCATGGGTTAGGTATGATCCTCCCTAATCATGCTAAGTCTCTGTAACGATCCTAAATACTTAAAGGGAATAGAAATTGAAAACTGTCTGTAAAATGCGCTCTAACCCCCAAAAAATACTCCAACTTGATATTTTTAAATTGCAATTTTAAAGTTTTCACAACAGTTGGTATCACACATATTATAGACTGTTAGGTGTTAAGCGTGCATAACAGAAAATAGATAAAAATGAATAAATTTTCTACATCAGAGATGAGTGAAAGTAGATTCGAGTTTTATTCGATTAAATAATGAAATTTTGAGCACTCATCCGCAATAATAATAATAAAAAAAAATCATTTTCGTGATAATTTGTCAACATGTTTAAAACCATAGTTTTACCATAAATCATTGTGCAGAAAAATATAATAAATTGGAAAAATTAAAAAGCACATTTCTCTCGTATAATTATGACTAATTATAAATGATAATAATGTCATGATCCAGATTTTAAATAAAATTTCACAATATAACGCACATCCCCTCCTCCCTTCCCCTCAAAATAAGCTTATCAATAGATATTTAATACGCAAGTATGTGAGAGTGCATTTTTCGCATTCAGTAGATAAAAATTATGGCACGATACTTTTTGATGGTAATTAAATTGATACACAGAAAATCCGGTAATTAATGGAACATGATATATGACAATAAATGAGTTTTTGAGCTGACTTCGAGTAACGAGACCTTTTGTTGTCATAGGAACTGATAAGAACTTTAAAAATTAATTAATTACTGTTTCTAGGAAGACATTACTTTAAGAAAAAGCATTCATCGATGACTTGGCCAAGCTTCTATCGACCCATCCTTGCCCTATCCTAGGAATTTTCCTAACCCAAAAAATCTCTCAAATTAAAGCTGAGTCACAATTTTCGCATCCACATTTTGTTTATTGTTCTCTGCGTTTTCCCATCTCGGGATGATATCGTGCATGTATATGCATAGAGAGGTACATATGTTATTATTAAAACGTATCATAATGAAATTTATATTTTTTTATACACATACACACACACTCATTCATGTACATTAGGAATTTTTGTATTCTATGTTTATTGTTGAAGCCACTTCATGATAACATATAATTTTATATACAGAAGAAGAAGAAAAAAAAGTTGTATACATGTGAAGCACACATGAAGAACGTGTGGAAGCGTACTAAATACATTCAATCTCATTAATTTTCATTTCAGAGGAAAAAATTGCTTATTTTTCCTCATTTTCATTTTTTTCTTTCTATTATTGCTCATATAATGAAATATATAATGGGGTATGTACAGAAATGATGTCGAAAAATTTGGATTTTTCTTCTTCTTAGAATCAGTAAAGCCAGGGTTGTAGCAACTAAGATCTTTGCACAGGATTCCGCGAAAAAGTTACAGAATCCAATACAAAGAGGTGCCATATACATTTTAGAGGATGCCAAGGAAGGGGAGACGAATTATTGATTTAAGAAACACTTGCGTAGCACATTGTGTAGGATCCTGATCACGAAACCTAAGAGAACCTTCTTAATTTGCTGCCAAAATCATGTACCATTCCCATTAACCCTAAACGTCACTTCTTATTCAACCCCCAAGGAAAATACAATATGTATCTATAACTGAAAGACAGCAAGCAATAAAGTAATGGCAAAGAAAATAATTTTTTTCAATCGATAATTTTTGTCGATATCATTAATTTCATCTCTTTCATACATTTATATTTATTTAATAGATAGGTAGCACACAAAAAAAAGGATGAAAAGAAGAAAGAGATTCTTTTTAAAATAATTCTATAGAGAAGAAAAATTTCAAGTATTCTATAGAGGAATGTTCACGAAAAAGCATGCATTGGCCTCACCATTCACTACTCATTGAACACATTTACTCCACTTATTCCACTCAAGGGAGAGAAGAAGACATAGGAAGGAGGATAATACGTGTAGTACAGTCAGCAGCAGTAGTAGTTATAACACAACTTCTCTCATGCCTTCAAAATCCTCCATAGAAGAAATGGCGAACACGATAATAGGATTATAATTGGGGAAATGAATGTATATTGTATACTTTACTGATATAGCAAACAACCCATCCACAAGTCAGTCATTAAACCAGCAACAATGAATATAACATACAATATAGATTGTAGAATTGTATTCTTTACAAGATATTATATTATACAGCAATTGGTAGTGTGTATGATAGTTGAGAAATTTCTCCCCATTTTCATTTTCATTCTCTTCTCGATTTTACTTTTCTTTTTTTTTGTAGTCGGATACTTTTTACTTTATTCCTTCAAATGCTTTATAGAAAAGAAAATTGGAATAGGTTTACTCTCATTTGTAGCTAGTTTTTCTGAGATTCGTTTAGTAGGCGATACTCTATCGGAATGTATTGTTGACTGATCTTGTAATCTTTTCTGGGGTCGTTCACTAATGACGTCCGAAATTAACGGTCATCTTTCAAAAAAGAACAATGGATTGCCTACAATTTATGTTGTTCTTTTTATGCTGACCAACCCCTCCTGGACGTCATAAGTGAACGACCCCTCTACAGAATGGTTCAATCGAGTCAAGATGACGAAACAACTATGTAGCTTTATTGGGAGAAGACACGATCGTTGCCTATATTTTTTAACCATATACGATCCTCAATTTGAATAGATTCTACAGTTTTAAATCTAGCGACACATGCAACTTTGTGGAAAGGTGCCAACTGAAAGATGACCCGAATCAGACTAAATCAGATGAACTTTAGTCTCATTTACTGTGTGCGATGTGATTTTAGATTGAACTTAATTAAGAACCCTAGTAGTCAGTCTCAGCCAGAAGTTAAGCATTAATCAAGCTTTATTTCCTTAAATCATTAATGACTTTGGATTAGAACTGTCAATGAAGTTTGTTTTCAATGAACCAACCAAAATATAAAATGCTTTTCAAATCCCATTAAAACAGTCTCTTTTAACTACTTCCCTCCCCTTTTTTCACGAGTATCAAAAGCATGTATCGCATTTCATGAAAATACACATGTTTGTATGTGCGCCTCAAATGAAAGGAAAATTAACAAAAAAAAAAATGCGACTCAAATATGTGTATATGATTGTGTACTATTGTGTTATACACATTTATGTTTCAAATTGACATGAAACTCTTTCTTCAATAGATTCTTTTCTTTCTTTCGGCTGTTTTTTGTGAAATAAATTGAAATTTTTTTTGCTACCTTTTTATTCAATGACATCAAATGAGGCACAAAGTGAATTGAAATGTTATTTTTTTTTGGCGAGAGGAGATTTTTCTCGGGAAGTCAATGATAAACATTTAAACGTGAATGATGTCGAAAAAATTTTGTTTAACTTTAAGGTGATTAAAATTTGTTATTTTTGGTAAGTGCAGAGGAGAGTGGATTAAAATTGGAATGTGGTTGATGGTTAGGGTGACCATCTGCGTAGTTTTACAACGGACAGTCCTGTATTTCAAAACCCTGTCCTGTATAAAATTGAAAACTTTGTTCCAGGTCCTGTATTTTTTTCACGAAAATTTCCGCTAATTTTTGAATTTTACTCTATGTCCTGTATTTTTCGAAAAAATTTACCAAAAGTCCTGTATTTTCATGAAAATTAGATGGTAGCCCTAATGATGGTTGAATGAACTGGCAAGGAATTGTCTGGGTGGGTGTTGTAAAATTATTGAAGGAACTGCTTGTTATTAATGTTAGAGGTTTAGCAGTTATAGCTCCTGATAACCCTTGGATCCAATCCGTCACATAAAGAATTCATTTCCTTTAAATACCTTTTATAAATTCAAAACTTAGAAGCAAACATCTTTCAAGGTTCAATCTTGACGAATCATTTCCTTGAATTTCGAATTACTTCATTGCCTTTCGGGCATCTAGGTGTGTTTGGAAACATTTTAATTCAATAAACCATTACCAGCAATTTTTCTAACCCCATTAATATAAAAACGTTCATAAATGACGTCACAGAAGATTGAAATTGGGGAGCGAGAGGATAAGTTGGTCTAAAACTTGTCTGAAACAATTGAATCTTTTAGAATTTAATCCTTAAGTTTTTAATGTGTAAAACGTCATTTACAATCAACTCCTACCTTAATTACTGCTAAAATTTTAATGAACTGACGAAAGAATTAATTAGTATGAATTTAATTGAAATTCTAAATGAGAAGCAATTTTCAATTTGATTTTTGATATTAATTGCCAGATAGAAAACGGATAATGACCTCACGGATTAAGTTTATTTGATTTATCATTACAACTGCCATAATAGCATTAAATAAGTTATTAAACTGATGATGCCAATTTATAGATTTTCAACAAATATTTGTTTAAAGCTCATTTTCAATTTTCTCTCGGAAGATTTTCAATTAAGATTCCAACATAATTATTGTACATTACTAATTAATAGGTAATCCGATACACGAGCTTTATCATGTTGCATTATTAAGAAATCTTTTAGAAATTGGAAGATTATAGGAGAGTGCAAATTATCATCTTTGTGCTTATGTTATGCTGTACAATTTATTTGTAACATTATAATTTACCACAAATAATTTTGAAATTTATGTGGTTATTGATTGATAAGTCATAGCTGAAATTGATGTATTAGGTGATAATTATGCATTATTTTTGATTAGGTTGAGAATTTATGAGAAAATTTAATGAAATTTAGTAATTAATAAACGAGTCGGAGGTTAACAAGACTAAATTTTCATCGCATTTTCTCAAAATTACACAATCATAATCATCATGTACTTCCATCACGTCCTAAGTCACAAATTACTTTAATTTAATTTAATTAAAACATGTTTAAATTGCCGAAAAATTTCAATTTTATAATAAGAGCTTATTCTAAGAAATTAAATGAAAGTTTATGAATTATTAATAAAATTACATTATTAAAATCTTGAATATCATGATGACTTTAAGAAAATCACGTCAAGAATGTCTTTAAAGCTAGAAATTGAATATCTTGAAGCTAAAAAAAGGAAATGAAAAATTTAAATAATTTTCATAAGGAAAATTCTTCTTCCTTTTATTTTCTGTGTGCCTTTAAACAATTTGTAAGCAGCAAAATTGAGGAGAAATAAATCAATGATAATTATCCTAATAATTCAAAATGAACAAAACATGATGTTTGTGATTAGAAAATAATACCCGATTTGATGGGAAAATTTGTTCCTTTATACTCATGTGGTGAACTTTTAGTGCATTGTAATAAATTTTTGAAATCCAATTTATTTTGTGGAAAATACCTTTTGATATTTTACCATTTTACTTGAAGCTTTTCTATTTTCTTTTCTTCATTGTTCACCGTTTGAAGAAGAAAAGACAGAAAAATATGATTCTTACGTTATAGACGAAGAAGAAGGAGCGTAAAGCCATTACATCATATTTCTCCGTGAAAATGTTTCTACAATACATAATATGTAGTCTTTTTATTATTGTAGAGCGCTATAAATCTTCAATTTTCCTCCACTTTCTAGCATTAAGTTATTATCATCATCATCAACATCATCATTGTTGTTCGTTCTATTCTCACATAAAGAATGTGTTATGAGCGCTATGATGATGAATTTTTTCAACCGTAGTTTGCGCTTCTGAGATTGTTTTGCTAGATTGTCTGTTGGTTTTGGTTGTGTTTGAAGGAAAATCATGGAAATCGAAGTGAATCTTGTTTAACAGAAACTACGATGCATCGATTGTGAATTCATAATAAGATTTTAAAAACTCAAACTTTGAAGCTCAAACTATTGAAACATATTTTAAGTTTCAATTTGAGATTTTGATTTTAAGATGAAAATTAAAATTCGAATTCTAAGTTCAATTGGAATTTAGATTTAAATTCTTATTCGAATTAGAATTCAAATTTAAATTCTTATTTGAATTAGAATTTAAATAAGATTTAAAATCAAATTGATACACAAATCCAGATTCAAGTTCGAATTTAAACAAGAAAGATAACTTAAGTATTTGGTTTGAAATTCAAGTTTTCATTCAAATTTGAAAAATTAAATTTCGAATTTGAATTCAAACTAGATTCGAGATTAAATTCATAATAAATTTTAAAACCTTTTTTGATTTCAAATTTACAGGTTCGAGTTCAAATTAGTTCTTAAATTTCAAATTCGACTTAAATGATTTAAAATCAAATCATTAAATTTAATTTCAAAGTAATTTCCAGCTTAACTAATTGTCAAGCATTCCTGCTCATTCCATTAATATGAAAATTGCGCTATCATCTCTTGTCACTCGAATTCAATTCAAGTTCATTCAATAATTTTTTTTCCTGTTTTATTCTTCTTCTTAGATCCATTATTCATTGATGCTTTTTTAATCATTTTAATGCACATTTGTTATTCATATAACTTCTTCTTTTCTACCCTAACAAAAACTTACCTCTTCTCGAAAACGTTTCACAATTTCTCCTTTTTTGCCAATTATGCTTCCGACTTCCTGCAAAGAAAAAGATGAGAAAAAAGAATTAAATAAAGAATGAAGGAAACCATTATCGCAATATTTTTTCATGCTGCTTCTCTTTCTCAAAAATGATGCGAAATTGTATTTGACATAATCAAGATTGATCCCCTTTACAATAAACCGAAAGTGAAAATCCTTTAGCTTGTCTCCTTCTCTATTATTTTAGAAATCTCACTCATTCATTCCATTATGTTGCCGCAATTCCATCCTATATTGTTTTTATTGTATTTTCTTCTCGCACTTTTGTTGACTAAATGGTGAAAAAATGAACACGAAAGAAAGCTCATGTCAAAAAATGTAGCGGAGGATTTTATATCTCATTTGAGATCATTTTCCTTTCATTTTAAAAGAAATTTAACGTTTTTTTTTCACTTTCTTTCATTTTTTGTGTCCCTTCTTAATGCTGCTTCCTTCTTTCATCACGAAATTCAATTTTAATGTTGACCTGCTTTATCACTTGATTTTCTTTAATTTCCTTATTTTGTAATCTCAGTGGTGGAGCTAAGGTAAGTCTAAACCCTCGTACATTCTCCTTTTTTGAATTCAAACCAATGCCAGTCGATAACTAAACTCATCCATCTAACTACATCCTTGCATAATCTGTTCTTATCACAATCAAATCTCTTTCTAGTTCCTTGAAATTAGATCTTAGATTTAAATAACTTGTAAATTGCCTAAAATTACCATTTGAAAGAGAAAACTAGCTCAAGTTTATGAGCTTTACATTTACTGATAAGAGAATAGAAAGGATGAGAATTAATAAGCGATTGAAGATTAAATCAAAATTTGTGAGATAGAAAAAGTTTTTAATTAAATTCATTTCACAATAAATTCGCCTTTTTGCACTCGTAAATTGAGAGACAAAAAGGATTTAAGCTTTTATCTTCGTCGTTGATAAGATAATCCTAATTATTATGCCTTTTAGGGGATTTTTTTTGAAATTAGTGGATTTATTTTTCATTAAGGGATTTATTCAATGAGCACTTCTGAATTGAGTGTGAATTTGAAATTGAGTTTTGGGTAGATTTTTTTGGAAGTAAGTTGAAGAGGATTTAAAATTAGATAGTGAAATTTTTTGAAATTCAAGACTAACTGTTGAAAAATTGGGAAAATACTAAGTTGAAGTTCACATTGTGAATCTTGAAATATTTAAAAACATCAAAGTCAGAGTTTAACGTTTGAATTGTATTTTAGACTTTTCGAAGTTAAAGATTAGAGTTAGATTAAAGATCAAAATTAGAGTTTAACGTTTGCATTGTAACTTTGACTTTTCGAAGTTAAAGATTTAAATTCATAATTTAATTTAAGTTTGAAATATTAAATTTGAATTCAAAATCAAGAATCAATTTGAATATAAACTTTGATTCAATTTTTGGAATTAAATAATTTAATTAGGTAGAATTTAATTTTAAAAGGTTAAATATTCAAATTAGAATATTCGAATAGATTTAAATCATCCATTGAAGTTGAATGAAAGTTAATTTGAGTTTGGAATTTAGATTTGAAAAAATGTATAAAATTCTTTCATTATCACAAATTGAAATTGATTAAAAATATGCTTACATGCTCATTAAGTTCTTATCTTATAAACATTTCATTTTAAAATTCAATTCGAAAACAAATCCAAAAATTTTCGTAAATTCTAAAAATATCCAATTACAGAAATATTTTATAAGCCCTGCAACAGCAAACGCCCCTAAAGCTCCGCAATAATAAAAATACCTCTCTAATCAAGAACTTTTATTTCCCATCCATTTTGTTACGAAATAAAATGAGAATGCAGATCACAATTCATTTCACAATTTGACACATGCTATTTAACTAAAAACACAAATAAAGCTTCTTCATTCATCGTTTCTCTCGCGTTCTTCAAGCCTCCTCGTAAATCTCATTCATTCCTCGAGCCTCGTCTCTCTCAAAAATAAATTCTTGAAGGTAAAGAAATTGCTTTTTACCTTCTCCATGTCTCATTTAATTTGACAAACGATTTCTCATCATATCAAAACAATTTAAATTGAATAAATGCTACAAGATTTTCCGTTTTTCTTCTCTGTTACGTCTTGTTATTGTTTTGTGTCTAGATCCGATCCCATTTTGTCTGCTAAACAAACTTTTTACATCTTTCTTATTCTCAATATTATCATTTTCTCTCTTTTCTATTGTTTCTTCTTGCCATCTTTGCTTACATTTGCTTGCATAACATCGAGGAAGATTACAAAAGATGGAGGTAAAGAAAAGTAAACTGGCCAGAAAAGAAAAACAAAATTGGACTTTAAGTACCCTCAGGAAAAGAGAAAGGAACATTAATTTCAGTTGAAATAGAGAAGGTAGTCAGCATCTCATGGTGGATTCTGCCTTAAATGTTTGTTGTTCTTTAGTGGATACTTGAATGCGCACTGGAATAATACAATGTGTACAGATATAGATAAGGGAGTCATTTCTAAGTGATGTCTTACTCTTAAATGGAGGATAGGAGGTCTGATGATGTGTGGCACTTCCATACAAAAGTATGAGGTTACATTAAGTCCTCAGTTATCAACAGACGTCATTTATAAATAAACCCTAAAACTTACAGCAAAAAAATTTTCTCCCCTTTTTCTGTTCCACAGCTATTCAGCTTAAGGGCATTTGTAGTGTTTTTCAAATTAAATATTTGCAGAATAATACAGAGGATACAAAGTACCTGAGCTTTAAGGAATACATGAATTTTCCTTTTTAATATTTTCTTTTCTAAAAGCAAATCACCAGAGAACTGTAGTTAAGGCTGTGTGGGAGCTTCAAAGAATATTTACTCTAACTTACTGTAGACAAATTTCGACTGAAACTTTTCAATTTCAACGAGGGCGATTTGAAGCTGTTTTAAGTGCACATGAGTTTGGAATCTATTTGTTGATGCTTGTTTGAGGCTCTCTTGAAAGTGCTTTAAGTTTTCCATGATTTTAATAATTTTTCAATTGTGAAGATAAAATTGGTAACTTAAGTACTTTTTTTGCCACATCCTAAATCAATAAGTAGATGCACATAACAGACGGAATGACAGATTGAATTTACCGAAGATGATAAAAAAGGAAGCGAAATTCAGTGCGAATTTTTAGAAGGTGAAGGTTCAAGTCCTTAAATGCATTCTAAAACTAGCCATAAAAGCGCGTATCCCAGGGCGTATCCTAAATTCTCTTCGGATTGTCCCTTATTAAATGATATTCTCTTGTCTCACATGTTTGATGAAAATGGAAGTAACATCAATTTCCTCATCAATTTGATTGCTCGCTTCTTATGTTATTGTGCAGTTGTGTTCTTTGTTAGAACTAGATTTTTTCGAGACACTTCTTTTTTGTTTTTTTTTGTGTAGTTTAATTATTTTTAAAGATTTCAAGAAAGCTTCAGGACAAATGATTCAAATTCTTCTTCCTGCAAAGTTTCCAACCTAAAATTCTTAAAGACAATTGAACTTAAAATTTATCTCAAAACATTCTTGAAAATTTAAAACCCCTTCGCATAAACATTTACGTTTCACGGATGCTTAAATTTTCTCATCCACATAATATCTATTCCACATAACGAGCTCCCTTACGAGTAAAATTAATTTGTCGAATGAAAACATTAAGTGCTTCATATTTTTTTTTCTTTTACGTTGTCATCGTTTGAAGGAGAAAAATGAATGTATCATATTCATAAAACGAACATTTTAATATGCGACTATAAACATTCGAATGTAAGTAAATGTGTCTTTTATAATTACAAGCCTGCGTACATATTGCTGCGTATGTATATTAAAATTAAAGTTTTTTTTATTAAAAAAAAATTCTCTTCCGTATCTTTATCCACGGAAAAACGTGTCAAAGAAGAAGCAACTCAGGAAATTTCCCTTAATTTGTGAAGAAAATAAAATGTCATGAAATGAGGGAAAATTGTGCCTTGACTTCACCAGCTCAGTTAAAATAAGGAAGGATGAAAGTACAGCCTGCATGACAACAACAATATATTACGTGGATATCTTAAAGTTAGCCTAGGCATAAGCTATCAAGTTTCTTGCTGTTTGTTCAAGAGGAAAAAAGGTAGCAACAAACTTTTTTTTTCCAATTTTTTATTATAAAATTTATATCTGTTTTGTATGTGAATGAAGGCGATAAAGAAGGAATAAGGAAAAAGTTGATAGTTAAGGGGCATTATTCGATACAAGATGACTGTTCGACCATGAGGGAGTGAGAGGGTTGTGCTAGATAAAACATAAATTTTCATTACATTTTAATTCTCACAGTGATTAAAGCTCTAGTCATACCCACACCACCATTTCGTACTCAATACATTATAATTGCTATTTTCACAAAGTTTTCGTTTGGATGAAAATGACTTTAATAAACTTTTTTAATTAAAGGGGGGAGCCTTTTTTTCATGCAGAATCTGTCAGTCGACAAACACATCGAACGGTGAAAAATTAATAAAATTTGCTGTTATGCTTACAGCAACATTATGTTTAATATAACTACGAACGAGTCATTGCAGCGCATTTTCATCATCCTGATAAATTTATTAGACGTAATTTATATTTTTAAAAATTCACAGGGAAACAGGTTATTTAACAAATTAGTGCCATTTATTGCGTAATTATGTTAGTCACGATAAGTTTTTATAGTTTAGAAAATTTATTGATATTAATTTTGTGCTTTATGGATTTACTTTTGTTAATTTATGATTAATAAAAATTGGCGATGGTAAAATTAAATTTAATGATCAATTAGTTTTTAAGTGTTGTTTTGAGATATAAAAAATGCATTACTAGTTTATAATGTATTGAGACGTTGCCGTGAGTTAATAAAATAAAAAAATTGTTGCTGAGGTTCTATGATACATTTGTTTTTAATGTTTAGACCAGGATTGCGATACAGGCACCTGCGCATAGGTGAGAGCCATACAATTCCTTGATAATTTATTAGGTTTCATTAGAATTTGTATGGTTTTGTTTAAAATACCTCATA